TAAGCATGCGAGAGCGTTTACAAATGATAATTAATTAGAGAGGGAGCATAATACTAAACACACGCATGCAAAGCATATACTTATCCTACACGCACGCGTACACACACACACACACACACACACACACACACACACGCACGCACGCACGCACGCACGCACGCACGCACGCACACACACACACACACACACACACACACACACAACACATCTACCCCCACTCATCTATCTACACACCCACCCACACACGTCCATCCATCCACCCACTTATTCACACACACACACACACACAACACACCTGTGTGTAAATCGGCAACCTCTTCATTGAATTTCAACATTGGTTATAAGAAATGCAAGTTTAGCTTTAAAGTTGCGTAGTTTGGTCAAAAAAATCGTTGAAAAATTTTAAAGAAAGCATTTTGTAGGTAAAATTATGTATTTTTTTGTAAAAATCTTAAACTTTTTGAGAAAAAATTTTTTATCGAACTGCAGAGTATGGAATGCGCAAAATTTTAAGAAACAAAATAACCTGATTTTCTTTTAAATATAGAACTGTAGAGATAAAAGATTTTGAAAAACGACAAAAAGCATGTTATAAAGTATAAGTTTTATGTTTTAAAATGCTTTTTTAATTTTTTGTCTACGATAATTTTTCATTGAGTTACAGATTTGAATACTGTTCAATTTTGAGCGTTTTGAGTGTTCCCTATTTTTTGTTGAGTAGTGTATATTGAGAATTTCTTCCACAAAAATCATGCTGTAAGAGTCGCTGCCTTTCTCTTACTGTTAGTAACATCTCTTATAATATTTGTTTACAGCATGATTTTTACGGAGAAAATTTTCGATGGACTATAAAATAAAAATTGTCGTATGAGATATTTGTTTCTTTTGTTATATACTTATGATTTATTTGTTACAGTAATGACACAACTAAAAAATTAAGCTATTTTTCAGAAAAAATTAATTTTAAATAATTAAATATAATACAAAATTACTATACGATAATGATCCCAAGAATAAATCAAAATAAAACAAAATTTAATAAGCTTGTGAGTAGAGGTGTGCGAATCAAGCCTTTGCATGGTCGAATCGAATCGAATCGAATTTTTACAATATGTTCGAAATCGAATCAAATCGAATCGAATCTCTTTAATTCGAATACGAATCGAATCTGAAACAAATTTTCCCAGATTAACATTACATTAGGCGATCGATTCGAAATCGAACCATTATTGATTCGAAATTCTCGAACTATTCGATTTCGAATCTTGCAGATTCGAATTCGAACTATTCGCACACCTCTACTTGTGAGAACCTCCGCAGATATAAATGCGTAAAACTATTTATCAAGTTAGAAGAATATACTTGCTTCAATTTAATACAGCAAAAATTGTTAAGACCGCAATACATGTTTAACAATTATAACGCGCAAACATTTCGACATTCCGAGTTCTCTTCAGTGCGATAAATTGAACTGTCACCAACGCAAATGATCCAACGGCATAGACCTCTGCACCCAAAAAAAAATTCTATCCTTTAGCGATACCCTCTTGATAGAAGATTTTTCTCTTATATACGTCTCAAGAAGATATTCTAAAATGTAGAGGAATATCGAATTACTAAGAGAATTTATTCTTGATTATAGTGCATGGTCCATTTTTTTATAAATAAATACGCGTTATAGCTGAGGAATATGCTTCATGTAAAATTTTTTGGCTTAGAGGAAATGCTTAAAGGAATTTCCTTCTTATAAGTAAAAATTTTTTTTGGAGTATGTCAATCTCGTCGTCTCTTTTTCCCATTTTTTGTCACAGTTCAGGATCCAAATTTTTGATAGATAAGTTAAAATAACTATTAAGACGAATATCTGTTATCTGGATAGTATGAGTCAACAACTTAAAACACACACACACAATTCAAATTAAAGTCAGAAATTAAAATAAAATATTTTAACCAAACTTAAGATGTCAAGAATAGATTAAATCCATAATAATCGTTAAAAATATTAATGTCGGAATGGTCGAGTTGAAAAGGAAACTACCCTATATAAATAGTCCTCTTTCCGACGCACATCTCACCACACACATGATAATCGCGAACCTATCCCTTAAATTCCTTAAAATATTGCAAGAGTTCGAAGTACGACGGATCTAAAAGTTCTGTATCACTTTGTACATTTAAACCTTCTTCCTGATTTTTAATATGAATCATTTCGGAAATTCTGCACGGAAAGAACAATTTTGCTGGATCCAGATCTAAAAATAATTTTTGTTCAATAATAAAAATAACTTTGTTGAAAAGTCGCAATGATTGTCAGAATATCAAAATGTTTTACAGCAATG